TTAACATGTTTTGTGTTGTGAGATGAATCTAAACCAATTAAACTACTCGCACCATATAATTATGGAAACTTAAACATATGTTGAGAAGTGATACATTTAAGTCTAGGGCCCCCAAAACTGGCCATCTAGCCAAATATTTTGCTCACAAGCATAAATTGAGCCATAATCATATTCTATTTGGTAGATGATTAGGTATGCACATACTGACCTGCACTTTTATGGACCCCTTATTAACCAATATTATCTTTATCGTAGTTTTCATAAATTAATATGGGTCCCGGCCTATCAACTAGTTGAGTTACATGTACCTATAATTTAAGTATATATTACATCTTGTACACGCACTATTGAATATTATTCTTTAAAATGATGATAATATAGAACATGAGTGACCCAAATTTCAAATAATTCAGGGACCAATCAAAATACTCAAATTCAATGCTTTCAACTATCTTTTCACTATCACTCATTCCAATAATAAAATGTGTAAGTTTGTGTTAGGAAAATTTGAAGTTGTACTATAATTAGAGTAAAATGCATGTTTGAAGAACAAAACATTGTGATGAAGTAAGCTCATGTTTCTAAAAAGATCACCTTGTTTTTACATGTCTAATGCTCTTTTCTATTTGGTTCTGTAACACTCGTACTTTTAGAAGTATTTTTTAAAGGAGAATACTTATTTATTAATAATGATAAAAGCAACATGAGGTAAAGCAACACAATAGCTCAAAGCTACCATGGGGTGAGACATATAATTGATTAGCCCTAGAGGACCCATCAAATTCGCTAACCCCGCAACGAAGTAGACTAATCTAACATCATTGCTGAACTTGAGAAAAACAATAAATCAAGTCTCCTGGATTCACCGGCTACCAGAAAGAGAGAAGAGAGGTTTGATCAGCCACCTCCAAAGAAATCAACTTTTAGCATTATTTTGAAAATTCGATTTATAAAACTCATAACTAAAAAGAAAAAGTCACCTAAAAAGTGCATTATATTTGTCTCTTATGCATATATTGTGATTAAATTATCACAGGAGGCTTCGACGGCTAAATACATAATCACGCAATACATTGCAGCAATAGGAGGACAAGCTGTGATAAATAATGTGCGCAGCATGTGCATAATTGGACACATAAAGATTGGGACGTCTGATTTTCATCAAGGTGACCAAAGTGTCAAAGCAAGGACAAATGAGGAGCGAGGTGGATTTTTGCTTTGGCACAAGAACCCTGACCTATGGTGCCTTGAGTTGCTCATATCTGGATGCAAAGTTATATCTGGAAGTAACGGTAAAATAGTTTGGAGGCAATCCTCTAATCAACAAAGGCCTATTAGTAAAGGCTCCCCCAGACCTCTTCGTAGATTTTTGCAGGTATATATTATCAGTTAATATTTTTCATACAAAAATAGTGGTTTCATGGTTTATTTTTTGGGCTTCCTTGATCATCACACCAATTTCTCCCACAAATTTTTAGTAGTTTGTTGCATAATTAAAACAATCTACAAAGTTGACCAGGTTTTACTTTTACTATATGATTAATAAATACATTTCTTTGAACTTTCACCAAAAGATGTCATTTAATAGTGTATTGGAGTTAAATAGCTTAGTTGGTACCTTGAATTATACTATCATATGTGTCATGTAGCTTTTATTTTGTCAACTCTTTAGTATGTCACAATAGTATCAAATGAATAAATTTAATGGTTAAAAATGAATATACATATTAGATCAAGTGCCATATTACATCGATTGAGAGAGGATTCTAACAAATGTGATTTGCCATATATTGGCTCTTAGTCACACTACCATGATGTTTATGTGTCAATTGAACTGGGTTAATTTTTACACGAATTTACTCAAGTACAACAGAAATAAAAAAAGTAATTCACAAATTGGTGTGCGAGTCAAAGACATTTTTTTTAGTTTACAAAAAGTTACAAATCGAATACTTGTAGTAATGTTTAAACATTGTATTTGCATTGATTTTTCTCCTTTGAAGATGATTATTCTTTTTATCCCCACCCCAAGTTCTAATCCAATTATGTTTGAAGAAGCATTGAATGCAACAAAATACCAATGTTATAGGGTCTTGATCCGAGATCTATAGCCAACTTATTTATAGGCGCAGTGTGCATAGGGGAGAAGATAATAAATGGAGAAGATTGTTTTATACTCAAACTTGAGACTACACAATCTGATTTAGAGGCACAAAGTGGTCCAAACTTTGAAATAATTCATCATACCATATGGGGATACTTTAGTCAAAGATCAGGACTTTTGGTGAAGTTCGAAGACTCAAGACTCCTCACCGTGAAATCGAGTAGAGAAGAAGAGGGAGTATTTTGGGAAACAAGCAATGAGTCCGTGATTGAAGACTATAAGTACGTGGATGGTGTTAATATTGCCCATGGCGGAAAAACTTTTGTCACTGTTTTCAGATATGGTGAACAATCAGCAAATCACAAAAGGGAACTCCAAGAAACTTGGAAAATAGAAGATGTTGACTTTAATGTTGATGGCTTATCTGACGAGTTCTTCATGCCTCCTACCGAGTTTAAGAAAGACTTGTGAGCTGGATAGAATGTATATGTTCCTTGAAGAATTAGCTAGCAGTAACTTTTGTTTTTTGCTCTTTATGTCGATGTAAATTTGTGAGTTTTTTGCACACCTATTACTTGTTATGTTTTTCAAGAGCAAAATTGAAACATATCACTCAAAACATACACAATGCCGTTAAAATGATGGAAATACAAATCCAAATTGCAATACATAATCAAAACATATAAATTATTATACTAGCAATCGAGGAATGTTAAAAAACATTGTACTTCAAATATGAAAAACATACATTTCAGCCATTGAATAAACACATACATGACTGCAATCACTATTCTAAAAATCGGCCTAGTCAGACCGATTAATCTACCTAGTCGGCTCCAACTGTAGAGGCCTAGTCGGCCGCCTAGGTGCTAGGTGCCCCTCAACCGCCTGAGTAGCGCCTAACGAGTTTTAGAACAATGATTGCAACATAATGCTACAAATCATTATTTCCCAAAACAATGCAAAAGTAAGAAAAATGTGATTTGCGAGACATCTGAAATTGAATTTATGATATAATATAAAGACATCATTGAATGTGACTTGTGCTCTAAGCATTCTCGTAAACATAGTACATTACAGGAAAAGATACATAGAGAAGGACACACACCCTGATTAAATGCACCTTAGCTCTTCTTCATTCATTTATCAAACATCTCACCATACTAACTTTGCATACGTCATAATTGTAACACAACTCGATCAAGTCGTTGCTCCAAAATTATGCAATTTAAGTGTTATCAAGTTGATCCATAGTAATATCCTCACATATCTATACACACATTTCGGAGGGGTTGCATCATTCTGAATGAATTCCTATCATAAAAGTGTTATATTTATCTTTGTGTGTATATATATATATAATGAATTCATGACATTAATAGTTTGAAGAATGTTAATTTATGCAACAATAATAATTTTGGATAATAATATGGTGGATATTGGTTATATTGGTAGACCAGTAAGATAAAACAATGAAATTTGATTTTGAGGAGTTGGTGTCACGTGCTTAAAAAATTATAGACCAATGCAACCACACACAGTACACCTAATTGCAGTTGCGGACCTCAATGAACAAGTGATTTCGCGGAAAGACGAAAATACAAAATGAGAAAGTAGATGTATTAAATGATGAGAGCAAACAATCTAAACTAGCAAACTTCAATGACAAAAGTAGGAATCTATTTGTACTCAAGCGCACAAGATAAAAACCGACGATCCAATTAGTCAATTACAATGAGTAAACGATCAAAAAAATTAAAAGCAAAATATAAGGCATTTCTTTCGCACGTTATAATTATTAAATTATACCCTCTTATGGTTTACAATCTTAAATTTCACTTGTATACCAACTCACTTAGTTCAAAGAACAATAATAACAAATGTCCCAAGTCTGCCAAACTTGAAAGGGTATAAATAGATTCATTTTCTCAACATTGCTCTATAATGTAGACGTAATAAATCACCATACAAAATATTGCACACCTTAAATTATTTCAACCATACAAAAATACTCACTTGTGAGTTTGTCATTGTAGTTTTCAATATAGCATCGGTGTTTCATACTCCCTTCATCCCGCAAAATAATTCTCAGTTTCCTTTTTGGGTCGTCCCAATTTTTTTCTCATTTCCCTTTTTAGAAAGTTTTGTGTGATTACCATTCATTTACTTTTTTTCTTACTCAACCACAATCATACATTTTCATTTTATTCCCACTTTCTTAAACTCCGATACAAATCCTTGTGGAAACTATTTTATGGGACAAAAATAATAATTTCGAAGTTGTTTCAAATTTTCCTTTTTATCTTTTTTCAAAGGGAGATTTCCCAAAATAGGGGTAAATGAAGTTTGAAATTCCAAAATAGGACTACTTTGTTTTTATTCCCGAAATGAGACTAACATGACAGTACTTACTGTCATCTTGTAGCCGTGACTGCCAAATAGATGCAGTATAGTGCATTTAACATGATCGTATTTATTATAATTAATGACAGTATTTTTCAATCATTGCAGTATTTTTCACACATGACAGTAATACATCCTATTTCGGGAAGAAAAACATAGTAATCCTATTTTTGGAATTCCAAATGTTATTTGATCCTATTTTGGCTAATTTCCCTTTTTCAAATCAGCTTGTACGTAATTACAGGAGGAATAGTAACACAGTCAATATATTTGACGAAAAATAACTTTAACTACCTACAAATTAGTACTCCGCAGGACGGAAGTCAAAATTTGCAAATTCCAATTACCAAACAAGGCCTCCATCTTGGGGTTCGTTTTCACACGGACGCTGACTCTCATCTCGAATCTCATCCGTTGCTACGCAATCCAACGGATTAAACTGAACCAAAGAGTTGCAATTGGATTGAGTCCTTATTACAATTCTCGCAGTTCCCGAAGTTTTAAACTCTTGGATGGAAGAATACGCTGTCGAATCAAAATTCAGTTAACAGTCATCCAAGATTCTGAGTTTAGCAATCTTCAGCTTCCATTCTACCGAACAAAGCCCCGTCTTTCCTCTTCAAGTAGTCGGGATAGTCCTCACGCACCAGTTTCCTTTCTGCATCTCTAAACTATCCACTTCGGTTTGAACTCACGCGTAAACATCGCGTTTAGTAATTCATTTGCTGGGTGCAGCTCGATCTCAGCTTGGGAAGGCGTGGTTTAGTGTTTGAGACGCTCGAATTGTCATTTCGCTGACTCTTTGAAAAGTTAATTAGGGTTTCTGAGATCCGTCAACAGTAAAATTTGACGACTGATGAGTCTTTCCTGCAGCATACCATCTTTCGTATCTGAGCAGGTGGTTTGACAGGGGCGCTGTATTGGTGGAGGTAGACTTGGGATTGAGGTTGAATATGGGATTTACGCTGATGTTCGTTTTACTTCCGGGCCCAGATTGAAGTGTTTGGTGACAAACTAGGGTTTTGCATTGTAAAGGTTTGAATTGGTATTTGTTGTTGACTTCTTGGTTTGGCTGTAGGGTGGAGGACTGCAGTTGCCAGTTTCAAGCATGTATCTTTAAAAATAAGATTTTGCGGTTCTTTTGGTGTTGTAAGAGTTTCTCCGTTAGTAGAGTAGAAATAGAAAAGAAATGTTCTATTCACAGTTTATACTCGCTAAAAAGGGCCCTTTAGGGACCATATGGATAGCTGCACATCTGGAGAGAAAGCTACGAAAGAATCAGATTGCTGATACTGATATTGGCGTCTCTGTAGGTCAGTTTTTGTTTACTTCAATGTAACATCTCATAGTAATTAACTCTGGAGTGACATGCCTTAATTGAAAAATACCATTGTTTTACTTCTATGACTATTGCATATTAAATGCTTATTCAATGGCATACCAGTGCAGAGATTGGCTGCTCAAAATACACCACTAGATTTTCAAGCGTGTATTTTTCCTAGAGAAATTCTATGGTGCCTCCTTTTTTTAGGGTGCCATACCTTGACCTAGGTGGACAAGTAAAAATACTACATGTGGTAACTTAAAACGCTTTATAAAAAGCTACATATTTTATTTTCAATCTAGTCCTCAAGTAATAGAAGTTTTTTTAATTATCGGCACTCATCTGATCATTTCATAGATGGCGCAGACAAATGTTATTCTGCAAATCCGATTATGAGGTTGTTCGGTTTGAATAAATTAATAATGGATAGAAAGATTCTGTGAAGCATTTTTTAACATGAGATCTCAGAGCATCTCCAATGCTTTGGGTGCATTGGTGGTGATGTGTCATCCAAATACAAAGGGTCTATAGAGCATGTGGGACTAAATAAATAAATTGAAGAGGTCTATTTTTTTCTTACTCCAATGCAAAAGAATCTACAAAGCAAAATAGAGAATAATCATTGCATTTTTAACTTGATGAGGTGAGACCCAAGGTCTATCAATGGACCTTGTGCAAGACTTTGGTCTTCTCTCTCCTTTGCCAACTAAGCTTCACCCTCTTTATTTTTTGTTGCATTGGAGATCAAATCTACTAAAAGGGAGTGCATTTGGTGAGGTGGAGATGCAATCCACCTCTCCATTGGAGATGCTCTCATAACACCTCATTTTGAGGACAAAGTTTGTCAGTCATTTAAACCCATCCTGGAAAATTGATAATTAAGTTGATGCGTTGAAGCCGAAAAAAATAAAGTAGAGCGAGTGAGGGAGGATCGAAGAACATAATGGAGGGCTAATGTGTTTTTTTCCAGTGTGTCTGGCTCTTCCCAATCCTGTTAGTGTTGTGCTCTACAGAGAGGACTTAGGTAGTTTGTTTCAAGGGAAATTTGATTTGATTTCAGAATCCTTTCATATTTGCTTTGTGTTTGCCAAGACCTGTGCTTTCTATGTTGTTTCGTGCACAAAAGTATACCTTCCTGAATCATCTGCACCCAAGATTGTACCTTGAAAAGATTGTATGTTCTTCCCATTGGGAAGTGAAGAGTGAGAATAGTATATTCTCAGGTTGCCTTTCACAGATATGAAATATGCTGGCGACAGTATAACGGATATGTCAGGCAGTTCTTTTTCTAAACGGTGGCAACAACAGAGTTTTCTTTTCCTTTTTCTACCGATCAACGGGAGGAACTAAATTACAAATAATAAATATTGGTATTCCCCCTTATGATGTGGCACTTTATTAAAATGTGATTGGTTAAAAAATGAAGGTACCAAAACTCAGCAAATTTATGTGTGCCCCCCTAGATGGACATCTTTTCCTATTTTGTCATCACTTCCTTTGTTGTATCATGTAGTAAAGAAAAGTAAAAAAGTGATCCTGAAGTCCATCACTCAAGTCCTTCTAATTTAGGCTTATGTTTGGCTACATTTTGCTGAAATATTGCTACATTCATGTATGTACTGATTATAAGTATAAGTTTCTGTGTTGATCCCAAATGGGAAAGCTTTTTCTATTTTTTTCAGACATAGGGATATTCTTTCTCAATGTATGCTTTTGATTTCAAGTTAGCTTTGTATTGTAACTTATCTTTGACAAAGTTGTTATATCAATGGAACTGACTCATTCTCTTAATTGTCAACAGACACAATTCTTTCCCCTGATGCTCCAATTGCTCTCCGTTTATCTAGCCATCTTCTGCTTGGTGTTGTGAGGATATACTCTAGAAAGGTGAACTACCTTTTTGATGACTGTAGTGAGGCTTTGCTCAAGGTCAAACAAGCTTTTCGCTCAACAGCTGTGGATTTACCTCCGGAAAAGTCTAAGGCACCATACCACTCTATCACATTGCCCGAGACTTTTGAACTTGATGATTTTGAACTTCCAGACATTGACACTATTCACGGGTTGGTTTCAAAATATTTGTCTTCCCATGGCAACTTTAGTTTAAGAATAAAGTGTGGAATTCAAAAAAATCAGCAAAGTGTATGGCCATCAGATGCTTGAATGTTATTGTCAGTTGATGTATGTTTAGTACTGCCTCAGTCCTGTATCAAGGTTCCTATGAAAAAGGCACCATTTTTAGACAAGTAATTAAATGAAGCAGTTTGAGGCTTGAGCACAAAACATAGGAAAGAAAAGACTAAAAAGGTAAAAATTAAAATAAATAGTTGAGTGGGTTGGAATATAATTGGGTGGAGTAATTGATGAATAATGGTGTTATTATGAGTGCATTTATTTTGAAAAGTAATGATGAAGTTATCATTTAACACCTTTATCTTTTCTCATAAAAGAAAAGGAAACTTGATATGGGACTTCTAGAAAAGGTTAGCGGGAACCTTAAATTGGGACGGAGGAAATATATCACTATATCATAATTTCAGTGAATTAGAACCCCTGTGTTGCTGTTAGAGATCATAAAGATCTTTCTATGTTGCGGCATCTTATTAATTCTGTGTGTCTACATTTCCTTCCTGTTCTCTATTTGTGCAGTAACTATGTAGACCATCATGTGAGCTCAAGAGAGCAAATTACACTCCAAGACCCCATGAAAGGTGTTGCTTACTCCACATCTAAATTTGGACCGGATGGTATGTAGTATTTTTACACTTAACATAACATTTCATACTTATAGCATTACCAGCTGATGCTTATACATATGTATTTTGCTTAATTAATGTATGATGGTTTCTTTACAGAGAGGTTTGGTGATGGCGATACTTTAGGTTTAGACTTTGATGAGGTAAGTAGGTAACATACTACCATTTACTTTTATTCAGAACCGGTAACATATAGTAAATCTTGTAGGTGGAAATGATTTTTTATTACCCAATTTCATACCTATTAGAGTTTTCCAATTTCCCCCATAACTTGGATCTTCTGGGAACAGGATTTATTTTTGGACAATGTTGCTGCCACAGGAGATGCTGGTGTAAGGTTAATCTCAAGCTACTCTATATTATCTGTGTTACACTACAGTAATGAATTCTGGACAAGCCTGATTCTATTGGTGTTAACCTGATAGGTTTACATGCTTAGTTTTTGTGAAGCTGCCACTTATGTCTATTAACTTGTTAAACTATTGTGTTAGTGGTTTCTGTTATCTTGCATACTATGTGTTTTACCAGCCTGAATTTGTGTCCCCTAGAATCTAGATAGTAGTTTAGTACTGTCCTTCATATTCTGCACATTTTTGGCAAATCACAGATGTATAGGCTATAGAGTAATTTGTGCAACATAGGAACTACGAGCCTACGATGTGTTACATCTAAAAAGAGGCTTTCTTAAGGCTTAACTTGGTAAGAACATTAAATTTGTTATCTGTTTTGACAGATGGTAGTCATAGTATAGATCCCGTTGATCAAATACTGAATCATACAATCAATACTAGTTCACATGTGCTGGGTGTGGGTTTTCCCTTCTCTTGAACATGATTATTTTTTCTTCTGTAATTTAAATCCACGTTGGTGCTTAAGTGGAGGTCCTTCAGAATCCTCTTCAAGACTCTTTGTGATTACCTGTTGAATTTATTTAGAAAATAAGGATTAGATGGAATTTACTAATGTGTTTAATGTGTCTTTATTTATCATGCTATTTATCTTCCTAATAAATGAACATGACGATGCCACCATCTATTAATGATAATCCAGTGTTGACGCTCAAGTGTCTGTTGAACCTATGACGCCTTTGAAGCAAGATGAACTTCATGATGCTATGGCTGCAAATTCAGAGAGCATGGTAATTGAACATATAGGGTTAATTAGTTGAAACATCAAACAGCTCCCTTTTTTATTTTGTTTGTTTCAGTGTGAATATTTCATGTTGCATTTGTTGTTGTTTTCATTATCAGGTTGATGGTGCTGAAGGAGATACTGATTTCGTGGAGTATGCACATGCCCCATGCACCCCTGGGCTAGCAGAGGAGCCAGATTTATCTAACATTCAAGAGACTTCTGCATGTGATGACCATTTAGAAAATGAGTACCAGAATCCAACTAAATCAATCATAGGAGGCGTGCATAATATTCCCTTGGGAGATGATGTTTGTGATGGGAGTAGTCTCACCAGGCATATGCCTATGCCAAATAATGCACATCCTGATGCAGTTTTAGATACCCAGTTTGAGGAGAATGGATGCCATTCAGGAGCTGTACAGTTTCCATCTTCTGAAGTTGCTTTTGAATGTTTTCCATTGGATAACCACACTTTGGTGTCTGAAACACCAGCTCATGTTAATCCGATCAGTGCACCTTTGCAAGAGTTAACTGATGAGACTGTTAAGCCATCTGATGATCCCAAAGAGGCAGAAATAACTCAGAATCAGATTTTTTACAATGACAAGGTTGACATATCTTCACACAGTGGCTTGGACAAAGACTACCCAAGTCACGATGGAATTAATTTGGAAGAAGATGCATGCAATATTCCTGGTTTAAAGAGTATTGAATTTTCAGTTTCAGCTGATGCTATGCAAGTCTGTCAGACATCACCTCATGGAAAAGAACCAGAAATTCATCAGGAGCAAATAAATTCCATCAATTTAATGAACTCAGCCCAATTTCACACTCTGAAACCATGCAATGCTCAGAACCAAGCTGATACATCAAAACCTTGCAGTGAACACCTTGATCTTGAGATACAATCTGATTGTAATGGCCTCTATTCTCCTAAAACTTCTGAACTACACATCTCATCTACTTTAGAACCTTCTATTGTCCAAGGTATGGGAGTAATGGAAGTATGTCAATGTGTTCATCCAATAAATACTTATTGTTTAAAACTCTAATCACTTATATGCTTACAAATTTTCTAGGTGAGACATGTCCTCTTACCGAGAATTTCGAACAAATATCCTGTGAGAATCACGAGGAAGTGCCTAAACTGTGCATAGTCAGTCAGGCAAGTCGTGAGAAATCAAATGTTCTAGTGGAGGATGTCGCTGTCATTTCTGCGCATTGCCCAGAACAAAATCCATGTAACTCAGCTCTTCAAGAAGTGCCTAAACTGTGCGGAGTCAGTCAGGCAAGTAGTGAGAAATCAAATGTTCTAGTGGAGGATGTCACTGTCATTTCTGCGCATTGCCCAGAACAAAATCCATGTAACTCAGCTCTTTCTGATCTTCCAACACCTGAGAAATTTGTGTCTATACCAGGAGGAGTTGTTGATTTACAAAGAGGTGTTTTAGTAGAGGATTCACAAGGATTGTCAGGTAGGATTAATGACAGTTGTCCTAGTGATTCCAAATTCATATCTGGAAGAAAGCGCAGTTATACTGAGAGCACACTAACAGAACAAAGTCTAAACTCATTTGAATCGTCAAGGATGACCCATTCCAGAACCACAGAACTTATTCCCAATGATGAAGATTTGTTGTCTTCCATACTCGGTATGCTCATTTGTGCTGTTCTTCTTTGCAAGGGGTTTCCTTGTTACATTGGGGGAAAATAAACCTTGTTGACTCATTTTTTGTGTTGTATGTTTATTTGCTTAAATTCAGCGGGGAAAAGATCATCAACCCTGAAATTTAAGCCCACTCCTCATGATAAGTCATCTATCAAACGCCGTCGTGTTGCCCGGTCTAGTATTTTAAAGAGGAAAGTGCTTATGGATGACACCATGGTGTTGCATGGGGAGTATGTTTCTTCACTTGAACTATTATTTCAATGACTATTTCTAATGCCATGCCTACAATAATTATTATCATAAACTAATGAGAAAATTCTCTAAATAAGATCAAAAACATAAATAAAATGCACAAATAGGATTCCATTTATTTCTTCCTAAAATTGGTAGGACTCATTCACTCCTGATTAGGGAACATTTATGCTCTTAATAGAACCAAAAACTACTATTATGGGAATAAAACATACATACTCCTATTTGTGCATTTTGTCTGTCTTTTAGGATGTTTTTACTAGGACTGATATTTTCTGGTCTGGTCTGGAAATGTTTGGTCTTTGTATTTTATAAGACCTAAGTCTGGTCTGGTCTAATCTGGGACTGAATTAAGTCCAAATAAAAACATCTTTACTCCTATTTGCAGCAATTTATTTAAATTCATTTATCACTTTTGTATTGTTTGTTCCAACTAGGCTATTCAATTTGCAGGGGGTGAATATCTGGAATGTCATGTAAAATTTAAGACTATTACTTAGTATGTAGTATGTTTTAAAATAAGTGGTATCTGTTTGCATGAACTGTGTTTTATCCTCAGGATTGTTGGATATCTCAAAGAACCATCATTTGCTTTCCCTTCTTAATTTTATTATTATATTGACTAACTGTAATAAAATGTCAATCACCTGCATGAATCAAATAATTTGTGGTCAAGTGTGTAATGCTTTACGTACTTGCACTTTCTGTACACTACACATCCATTACTGTGTGTGTTGCTCACTTGGTAGCTGAAGTTTCTTATATTTATAATTTCAGAGTAACTTATAAATGTAGTCATGTAGACTCTTATATTTATAATTAGAGTAACTTATAAATGTAGTCATGTAGACCACCAAACATTTTGTGATGAATGCTACTACTGCATTTCTCTAAATACCAACTGATCATCACTTTTAGTTCTCAACTTAACAGAAAATATCATTTCTCTTTTACAGTACTATACGGGAACAACTAACTTATACTGAAGATATACGTCGCGTACGCAAGAGAGCTCCTTGTACATGTTCTGAAATTTCATTGATAGAGAAGCAAATTTTGGAAGATCAAATTTTCAGTGAAACATTACTAACTGGTGAGTTAACTTTGCTGGAATTATGATGGATTTAGAGTTTTCGCATCTCCTTAATTTATGCTAATGCTGTTCATATAAGAAAAAGTGTGCCTCTTCCAGAAGAGCTTCAGCATGAATTTTATGATCTAAATTGCGAATTTTTTTCAATATGAATTAGGCATAGGAAAATGTTAGTGCAGTAAACATCCAAAAAGCGCTACAAAAGTGTATGCGTGGCTCTTGTGATGAGCAGGAGTTTGCCAAGGTTTACATGTCAGTTCTGCAAAAAATTGTTAAGCGCTTTTGTACTTATTTCTTAACCTTATGCATATGTTCTCTGCAAAAGTTGTCACAACAGTCAAATTATCCATATTTGAAAATACAACTTACAAACAGCAAGACAGCTCTCTTTCCTGTCCACCTTCACAATATGTTCTTTTTTATCGATGGCATTATGCTAACTCAAATTGGGCACCAAATGTACGTTATTTAATCGATTGGCAATATGTTCTTCTTTATGGGCATGGTTTGGATCTCGTTTTAGATCTAGGAAATAGAGAATAGGAGAGAGGAATAATAAACTAAGCCTAAGCTAGAAGTATTCAGTGCCCGACTTTTGAATAATAGTGATGACCCTTACATAACTAATGCAAGTGTCCTAATTATAAAAGGAAATAAATGTTAATAAGAAGTTGCCTAAAACAGAATAAGAATAGTTATGAAAGGAGATAAATAGTAATTAAGAAGTTGCCTAAAGCACACATAGAATTAATAATAAAAGTAATTCTAATAATTTAAGGTTTCTTTTCTCACATTACATTGTTTGAGGTTTCCTGCCTGATACAATTACACGCAAATGTCATTTCTAATGCGAAAATGTTATGATGTTTGTCTCTTCAGAAGAATAAAGATGCATTTCTCAATTTTATTATGTTTTGTTTTCCTTCATTTTTCGAAGGTGTTTCAATGGAATTGGGGTGTTTGCACAAGGAAACATTTGATCTGATGGGTATCAAGGTCTTGAGGGAAAATTATCCAAAGCAAACATCTGTGCGTGATGAAAACAGTAAGACATTGGGCATCCAAATTTCTGACAAGTTTGATGGACCACATACTACAAGGGAAAATGAGAGTGGAGGTGCTGATGAACTTTCAGTAAGAAGAGACGATGGAGACGTAGATGCTATCCTTGCCACAAACAAGCAGGGTGAACATGACAACCAATCTTTAGATGATAATAATGCCACCCAAATGCTCATGGACAGTGGCGAACATGACGACCAATCTTTAGATGATAATAATGCCACCCAAATGCTCATGGACACCACTGTCGATGTAGATGAAGCTCATGCTTTACAACTTGAGTTTTCAAGAAATGCAGTTGAGGCAGAAATTGATGGAGCAAAAGACACGGCTTTGGCTGCAGATGGGTTTCTATGCCATACTAATGGTGCTTCGGGTGATTTAGCTGAAGCTAACACATCTCAATGTGAGGTTTCTGGTAATGCAGTCGAGGTAGGAATTGAACAAGTTAACAACTCTTTATGTGATGAATTGGCTGGATTTGGGTCTCTATACCCCACAGATGGTGTTTTAGCTAAAGCTAATGCTTCTCAACTTGAACATTCTGGAAATGCTGTTGATATGGAACTTGATCAAACAAACACTTCACTTGACGATGCAGAAAACAATGCTTTGGCTGGAGTTGGGTGTCTATACCCTATGCATGATGTTTTAGCCAATGCTAATGCGTCTCAACTTGTGTTGTCTGGAATTGGAATTGAGCCAGGATTCGACCAAACAAACGCTTCACTCGATAATGATAATGCTGCTTCCGCTGGAGTAGGGTTTCAGTACCCTTCTGATGCTGCTTTGGGTATTTCATCTAGGTTGGTAGTTACTGATTGTGATGCATCTAATGGCCTGGATTCTTCTATGCAATTAAATGGATCTTGCATGTCAAATGAGCACGAGATGGGTAATGAAGATTTTGTGCCGACAAACATGAGCTGTGATAAACTCATTAATGATAATAATCTTCTAGAAGGTAATACTGTTGATATTGCTGAAATTGAAAATTACCCCCGAGCCAAGGAAGATGTATCATCGGGTGTAGCTCAAGTTGATGCTGAAGTTGAAGCTAATAAAGATATCAGAGTAGAGTATGATCCCCAGTTCTTGACTAATAATGTTATATGTGGTGAGAACCTTACAGTAGATGACACCACAGGTGCTGGAGAAATTCCTTCTGAACAGGAAACTTATCTACAAAGCCTGTTTGATGGAGAAGTATCTGTTATAGAGCTTAATGTTCCAGATGTAAGTTCACAATTCACTTTGAATTTCATGAAGTTTTATTTTCTTCAGCATTCCACTTGGTTGTTTTTCCCTCCTAGCACTAGGTTAGGCTTACTTTTCTTTATTTGCATATGACATTTAGAGGGCAAGAAAAGGTACCTGTACTGGAGACTACTGGGATATGCCTCATTTTGGCACTGTTCTTTGAAGTTACTAAAATAATAACTTGGCAGCAAGGCCAAATACATTTCAACTGATTTTAGATTTAAAAATCAAAATTTTAATTTATAGTAACCTTGAATAGTTGCTCTTTAAGAAACTAAAGATAGTGTATTTCCCTGTAATGACCTTGAATAGTTACTCTTTGACAAACTAAAAACAGCGATTGAGAATTAGTTTATCACATAGGTCCACACACTTGAAATAAGTGAATATGCCCTGGTCTTTGTGAGAATAATGAGTGTGCTGTGATATACTCCCTCCGTCCCCCTAATATTGGTAAGGAAGGGAGTGGTGTGGTTTTTAAGAAAAGTAGAATTATGTGGTTGGTAATGAGTTGATAAAGTGGAAATAAAGTTAGAATGAATTAGAGCCACACAAATGTTACCAAATATGGTATGGGACAATAATAAAGGGACATCCAAAAATGAAAAAATGGGACAATTATAGGGGGACGGAGGGAGTACAATACATCCCATCTCTTCTCATTTATCCAATTTATGCCTATGCTCAATGGCAGCTCGTATTCTATTTCAGTTGTCTTGAAAGCATTTCTTTGATGATCAGTTCTCATATTTATATATTGAGCCAACAGTCTTTTATTTGATTTTTTGCTACTGGGTGCAGGTTTCAAATTACTCTGGTGCTATGAATGATACAGGTTTGTTGTCTCATTTGCTATTCTTGTTTTTCAACTATTATTCCAAGTGCATCACCTAAACTTCCCCTCTTTCACTGAGGCAGATAAATGTACATTCTACTGCCGAAAGTCAATGTACCCCCTTGTCCCACTTTCCATTTGGGGCATCCCATTTTGGTTGTCTTATCTTCTAGATATATGATAGTCTTAAAATGTCTTAAAATGCATAGACATGAATAAAATGATAAAAATCCTAATGATGAAGTAGCAAAAGTCAAACATTCTATGTTTTCAAGAAAATCAATCACCTAATAGTTTGGTCTGATATTAATCATCATTGGGTTCAAGGTTGTGATTTTCTTCATCATCCTACATGTCCCCAAATAGATCTTTAGTAGTCAGATTCCCCACTGGTTCCTCCTTCCACTTCGAGGTCACTAAATCAATATCAAGTAGTCTGTACGCATACCGGGATGCATTCACATTCTCCCTTCTGTTTTGACACCTTGTATTTGTCGCCTCAATGGCCTGTTGAGCTGCTTGTACTTGTTCCGAAGTCAGATCATCACTCTCGGAGGGTAGCCGATGTCTGGAACTCCGTTAAACCTAGAATTTGCATCGTAGTTTTTCAAATTTTATAAGTAACCGAGTAAGTCTGAGTAACTCGCTGAGTTGAGAACTTCATCGAGTTGAGAAACTCGCTGAGTAGATAACCCAGATGAACAGAGCTAATTTTTCAAATGATTTGCCCAAAAGTTACCAATAACAAATGCAGACACATACAACATACGGTATATGCTTATTTCAACTGAGTTAGTAGCCTACTAATGAACTAAAAATATACAGGAGTAAAATTTAATAGTTCACAAATATTTTGATGCTTTATTTTCAAAAAGGTGTTCTGCATTCCTTTCGCTGCACCACTTAGTTGCTTGCCCTTTCTTTTTATTTCCAGGGTTCCTAAATGACGATCATGACGACGATGAAGAAGCTGGAGAGGCTGGTGATGGTACGTTTGATGCTGAAAAAGCATGTTTAACTGAAAACAGTGGGTGGTCTTCCCGTACTAGGTATCTTTATTCAGACACATTTTTGTATACATGATGTTTTTCTTAATTATTATTCATTCCTTTACCTGAGTAATCAAGATACACTGGGGGTACTTATATTTTTGACCTTTTTCAGAGCTGTTGCTAAGTATCTCCAGACTGTGTTTAGCAAGGAAACAGAACATGGAAGGAACACTATTTCCTTGGACAGCCTTTTGGCTGGCAAAACACGCAAGGAAGCTTGTAGGATGTTTTTTGAAGCTTTGGTAGGTTTAAGTTCTTCTCGATCACTGAAAAAGGCCCACCTTTCCATTTTCTCCTGTCCTGAAATAAGGTTCCCCTTTTGATGATAAAATTTGTGTTTTCTTTCTTGTCTCAATAATTTTTAATCAAGTCAAACAAGGAACCTTTTCAGGGTCAGAATGATGATTGCTCTCTCATACGGACTCACTAACACATTGTTGGATTTGAGTATAGGTTCTTAAAACAAAAGACTACGTCCACGTGGAGCAGGCGATTCCATGCGACGATATTACTATACAGCCACGGATGCAGCTTATGAGATCAGAGTTTTGAACAGATGTTGAAGTAGGGAAAAGCATGTAAAGTTTGTGAGAAATCATTTGCTAATCTGTTTCCTTGCTGATTTATGGCCTACGTTGACATAGTTCATAAGGCCGAAAATCACGGAATGCGAATTGTCATTTTTTGTTTTTTTTGGGGGGGTGGAGGTGGAGGGTGGCATTGCCCATGTTCCCAGTAAAATTAAATTAAATAGCATAGAGCAGTAGAAGCGTAGCTTGTTATTAATGCAAGTGATTGTGGCACTTGACTGTATAACTATTTATACATAATATATATGTATATAAGCTGTAAAATTACATCTTCTGGGAGTGACAGCACTTGTGTAATATGAACTGTTCAGTGTTCATAAATCATCTGGACTTCCGCCTCAAGTTGGAACCTTGAGAAATGGAAATACATTCTCAACCCACGTTCTTTATATTCTTTTTATTGATAGTTAAAAATTGTCGCTCTCCAAGTGTCCAACCGTCCAACGCGTGTAATTATTTGTTTATGAAATTTTAGTGAATTAGCAACACGAACTTTTCATTTAACCTTACGTGGTTAGTTGGGATAGTGTTTTATTGTTTGAAGTATTGATCATGTATTAAGATATATGCAGTATATATTATTACTCTTAATATGTATTAGGACTTAGGAGCAATATTAACACTTTTCGTTCCTACTTTTTAATTAGGCATTACTTTTGCGGTCAATTGTATTAAATTTAAGTGATAATATAATGATATACTCCGGATGAAAGTGTTTATAATAATATTAAAATAAAATAATATGGAAGTATTGTTTGTTAAATATGCTACTACGTATTATAGAAGCAAAAACTTTAAAATTGTGCAAAAATATATTATTAGAACAATTGGTCATAGATAGCTAAATGAAAATGTATAGGGCTATAGAGTAAGAATGTGTATAGAGCTATATACTCCTCTCGTTCCACTAACAATGGGACAAGAGCGAGTGACACGCAAATCAATAAAATGTTGTTTATGTAGTTGATATTAAATTGATAAAGTAAGAATAAAGTAAGAATGATTTAGAGTCACACAAACTTCGCCAAATTTAGTATGAGACAATTTTAGTGGGACAAATTGAAAAGGTAAAATGGAATAATCTTAGCGGGATGGAGGGAATGTTCATTACTACTATTGCTATTGTAGACTTTCTGTCCCGCTAATATTATTTCATTTTACCTTTTTAGAAAATCACACTAAAATTATCTCATACCAAATTGTGTGATTCTAAATCATTCTTACTTTGTTTTTATTTTATCAATTAATATCAATCACATAAATATACTTTTCTTAATAAACGTGTGTTATGGGCTTACTTATTTGTATATTTTATTAGTATAGTTTTAAATGTAATTAATGGGCCAAGGGCTTTGTACGTATGTATATATACTGGTATATGCGGATGAATGAAGACATATGGATTTTCAACTCTTTTTCTAGCCACACCATCATGGTATCAGAGCATCGTGTTTGAAGGTCTGCACATCAACGGAAGCCAAGGCTGCTACGGAGCGACACCAGCGTGGTCGTCTTCGACACCTGCCATGTCCGATCCAACATCACCGTATTATCTCGGATCGGGTGATCAGCTCGGGAATGTCATAACACATGTGATTTTCAAGGGAGACAATTATGTGGCTTGGTCTCGGGCTATTACCCTTTCTTTAAAGGCACACCGCAAATACGTCTTTGTGGACGGAACCGAGAGGAAACCAACGGCAGCGGCGAAGTTACTTGACTGGGATACCGTCAATTCCATGGTGGTGTCTTGGTTGTTGAGAAGCATGGAACCCAATGTGGCGGCGTCCATTCCCTTTCACGATGAGGCGCGTGCACTGTGGGTTTATTTGGAGAAACGCTTTAGCGTTGCGAATGGACCAAGGTTGCAGCAGCTCCGTGCATCTATAACGGGCTGCAAACAGTCCAAAAACATGTCCGTGGATGCATATTACACCACACTTATGAGCCTGCATGACGAATTAAATAGATTGAAGTCGCTACATTCTTGCACGTGCGGTCTGTGCACGTGTAATGTGGTTGGGAAGTTTGCGGCAGATCGCGAGGAGGAGCGTCTTCATCAATTTTTAATCGGAATTGATGATGAAATCTATGGGACGGTGCGATCAAACTTGCTGTCGCACACACCTCTACCCGACCTTGATCGTGCTCATCAAGCTTTCCTCCAAGAAGAGAACTCTCGGGCTGTGGCTCGCGGCAAACAACCGGCGGCAGTGGATGTGCATGCTTTTGCACTCACGAAGGGATGCCAGGAACAGATTGACAAAACCAAGCTCGTGTGTACTCATTGCAAACAAAAGGGTCACGAGGTTGGGGCGTGTTTTAAACTGCATGGCTACCCGGAGTGGTGGGACGAGAAGAATCACAATAAAAGTGTTGCGGCCGGTCGTGGAGGGGGGGCACGTGCGCACGCCGTATCTTCATCACCGGGCAGCAGCAGTGGACCGAGTGTGGCCAGTGGCAGCGGGTCATCTTCCCATGGTGAGGTGAATGCATTGAACGAATTAAGCAGGGAACATGTTCAGGCTCTTATGAATTTGATTAGCGTTGACTCTAGCTCCTGTGATCGCATGTCGGGTACGTACACTTCTTTACCGTGGATTATTGATATCGGGGCATCACGTCACGGGAGATTTGTCTTGTCTTATCCAACGTGCTCGTATTAATGCATGCCCGGTTGGATTGCCGGATGGGAGGATAGTGACTGTCGAGGTGCTTGATCATGTGCTTTATGTGCCTGCACTGAATTGCTAGCTTATATCCATTTCACAGCTGATTGATAAGACTGATTGTATTGTTACCTTCACTAATTTATTTTGTGCAATACAGGACCTGCGCTCGAGGAACCTGATTGGAGAAGGTGAACAGAGAGATGTGCTATATTATTTTCGGGGGATACCTGCACTACATGTTGTTCACACATCGGGTCTTTCAGATTTTGAGCTGTGGCATCGTCATCTGGGTCATCCGTCAGATCAGGTTATTAAATTGTTGCCTCATTTTATTACTAGTACTTCTGCGAAAAAATTGAATAAAGCCTATGAGGTGTGTCCACAGGCCAAACAAGTTCGTGATTCCTTTCCTGTCAGTAGTGATGGTGTTTATTTTCTTCTTCTGGTTGATGACTTTTCACGAGCTGTGTGGGTGTATTTATTGCGTGACAAAAAGGAAGTAATTCGTTTTTTATTTCCTTCATAACTATGGTGGAAAAACAATTTGAGGTGACTTTGAAAACCGTTCGTAGTGATAATGGAACCGAGTTTAAATGTATGCAACCTTACTTTGAAACTCGTGACATTATTTTTCAGACCTCGTGTGTCGAAACACCTCAACAGAATGGTCGTGTTGAGCGAAAACATCATCACATTTTGAATGTGGCTCGGGCCTTGATGTTCCAGGCCAGTATACCCATTCACTTATGGGGGATCCAGGTTGGCGTGATGCGATGCAAAATGAAATCAGGGCCCTTGAAAACAATCATACGTGGGATATAGTCAAGCTACCTCCGGGAAAGCGGGCGCTTGGCTGTAAATGGGTCAATAAGACCAAATATAACTCTGATGACACGGTGGAACGGCTCAAGGAACGGCTGGTCTTGCTTGGCAACCACCAGCGCGCAGGTATTGATTATACAGAAACTTTTGCCCCTGTTGCTAAAATGGTAACTGTGCGTGTTCTCTTAGCGGTTGCTGCAGCTAAAAATTGTGATTACACTTCATCACCGTGCCACTTACTTTCATTCCAATATTAGTGGAACAAAGGTAGCAGTAGTATACAATGTTCTTACATGTCAAGAATGATCTTTTCTACATATGATGAGAGAGTTAGAAGACTTTTGTATTATTTTGGATCTAAGAGGAAAGTAAATATTGAGTTTGAGTCTGATACACAAAGAACATTTTTTATCTTATGATATCAATATATACGTTTTCCTTGAAAAAAGAACAAAAATATACTCATCAATAATAAAGTTATCATCGAGATAAGATTTAACGAAAAGGCAATATATGTTCATGCTACTTCTTCACCTCTTAACAAAAGGAAACTCATCAATAATTTTTCCTTATTTGACAAGAAATATATGGTTATATCATTTTACTTGATTCTATTTAAACATCAGCCATAATTTTTTATATATCAATCACACTATTACTAATTAGAAAGAATGACACAAATGTTATTTGGCAACTTTCATTGGACAAAAATATGATCAAAATCCAATAAGCCAAAAAAGTCACTCATTTAATCTCAAATACTCGATTTAAGCTTTTCCTCTTCGTTCGTAGACCAAGTACCTCCCAGGAGGGAAGTTTTCTTTTCGTTCGTAGACGGATTCTTAGGAGCGGATACCAGGAGCAGACCATCATCTCCCCACTCCCTTCGCGCACAGAGCCACCTCCATCGCCCTCCGCGCACTGAGCCGCCTCCATCGCCCTGCGCGCATAGAGCCACCTCCATCGCCCTCCGCGCACAGAACCACCTCCATCTCCCTCCGTGGACAGAGCCGCTGCCATCATCCTCTGCGGACAGACCCACCGCCATCGCCCTCACCGTCCCCGTCCTCTACTTGCACACTTTTTCAGAGTCATCTTCATCCCTATCTCCCAGATCTGTGACAACACCGTAGCTGGGTTTCTAGCCATGCGACGCTTCGGCGGCGAGCAGCAACACCGGCGGTGGTCCAGATCTTGATTAAAATGGCTAGGGTTGGTGTTGGTTGGGGTATTGCGATGAATTGAGACAGAAATTGGGCCAAGGGAAGGTAGAAGGGGCTGGGAAGGGGGCTAGGGGCTACGAACTTGGGCGTGGTTAGTGCAGGGGGAGGGGAAGTGGTTGAGGTCCTTGAGGATAGGGGCTGGTTGGAAGGCCGGGAAGTGATAGCTACTTTATTGGGGCCACTGGAGGCAGGGGTGGAGCAAGTCAGGGTTTTTGGGGTGGGGGGGGGGGGGGGGGGGGTCTGCTGCGGTTGTAGGCTGGTGAATAGCGGTGGTGAACTAGTGGCCGGAGTTAATCTGGCCGGGTCACGTGGACGTCGGAAAAAGTCACCAAAAATTTTTCCGGGAACATAGTGACACGTTTCACGGCAGCAGTGACATCTTAAAGTGACACAAAATCTGATAGTTACATTCAAAAGTGACATAAAAATCTAATAGTGACATATAAAAGTGACATAAAAATATGACAGTGACATAAAAATACAATGACATCATATTATTCCAAATATGTGACCTTCTTAGTCACATTTTTGTCATTTTATAAAAATGGTCACATTTTTGAAAATTCGATTTAATTTGGTAATATTGTAGGAAAAAACCCTACTAATTATATGAAACAAAAATAAGATATTAAGAATGTTTTATTTGGAACGAAACTAATTGTATGAATTATTGTTTTAGAATATTATAATTGTTGTAAAATGAAGAAGATGAAGACTAAACTTGA